GTCGAGATATTCATCGTCTTCACCTGGAATGCCCATGTTCACCAAGTCGTAAGATGACGGGACAGTATGCCCGATATCGACGATGCAGAATTGAAAGACGACGCGCTTGTCCATCTGTTGACTCATAACTTGAGCCTCCTTCAGAACAGCGGCGTTCTGCAAAAGCGTCTCCGCCATGGTGACATACTTCCTTCGCCGCCACTGTTTGAAAACAGTCCTGATCAACTCCAGTTGCTGCTCATTTTGCTCGTTGTGTGCATCCTTTGCTTCGGCTTCGGCTTCAGCTTCGGCTTCTGGAGTTCCGCTGCTTTCAGGTACCCACTCGTGGCCAAGCTCTTTCATTTGACGTGCAAAAGCCTCCTTCTGCTGTTGTAGCTGCTTCTGCATTTCTTCCTTCGCAGCTCGCAGCTCTTCCAGCTCGACTTTTGCTTCTGCGTCAGCTTTCAGCTTTGCACTGTAGTCCTCTTTCCGCTTGTCCATCTTCTCTTCCATGTCTTCTCGTATCTCCTCCATCTTTTCGCTGCCGTCTTGCCGAGGCGTAGATGGCATCGTTAACATGGTATCGAGCGAGAAGTTGTCTAGCGTCCCACCAGAAGCGTACTTTTCTCGTACAGGATATGAGGACATCGACTCTGTATCCTCGTCGCTGAAGATGCGACTCTCGGGACGTGCTTTGCGGGTCTCGCGCAACCTGCTGAGATCTTCGAAGAGTGCCTCAAAGTCTTCGTCTGGAAGGTTTTCGATGCGTTTGTCTGGCCCCAGCCACGCCGTAAGGGCTTCTCTGCGTGCGTAGGAGAACTCTGACTCACGGCCGCGTTGCCAGAATGCAGGCGATCCTGCCCTCGGACTATCAGGGTCGAAGTCAGAGTTCGCGATACTGATGGCGCTGTATGATCTGTCGTGACCAGGTCTTGGTGCAGGCGAGGGAGAGTTGAGCTGGCTGGCGGTGACCGTCTGTCGAAGTAGGCTTGTGCCTACTTCAGCACGCTCAGCTCTTGCCTCTTGCGGGTTGTTGAAGCGGAAAATGTGGAAGTCGCCAAGGATGATGCGGTGGCCGCTCTTGAGCAACCTTGGCTTGTCGATGCGTACACCATTGACCATGACACTAGCGGTTTCCTGGGGTATCACCGTCACCTTGCCGTCCACGTTTTCGAAGTGACAGTGTTCGGCAAGAATCTGCGAGCCATTCAGACGTATTTGTGCGGTTTGGCCTTCAACATCAGAATTGCCAACGGTCGTCGTGCCCGGTTTTAGGTTGTAGACGAGACATTCAGTCAAGAGTGGATCATCACTCAAATTGACCAAATGAGGCATGTTCTTTGGTGTTGACAGACCAACGAAACCCTTTTCGATGCTGATACCAAGTTCTTCCAGCGCGGCTTCTCGTTCCTTGTGGATCTCTTCCGTCTTCTGCAGCTTCTCTTCCCAAGTTTGGTTCAACTCGGTATAGAGTTTCTCTGATTGATCAAGCTGCTCTGCAATCTCGGCCTTGGATACCTTCTTGATCGAACCGTCTGCTTGTGTGATGGAAACGATCTGCTTCTCCAATGGTGTGTCGGGTGCGTACTGTTCTTCTATGATGCCATTCGCTCCGGCAACTCCACCGCCTCCTCCACCCAGCTGAGTCCGCAGTTTTGACAGTTCTTCCTTGAGCTCGCGGATCATGCGCGCGTTCGGGTCTTCGTTTACGACAGCGTGGTTTTTGATGCGTTTTGCGGAGTCGGCGTAGCGGAGGGTCGAGAGGGTCTCCTCGAAGTTGATGTCGGCTGGAGAGATGGCAGCAATCATGGCTGTCATACTGTTTCCTCCCAAAGAGTCTTTCAAGAGCCATGTCAAGATGGAGTCTCGGTATGGAACTTGGGTACCCTTCTTCTTGCCTCCCGACGACTGGTCTGCAAGCGCTGCAATGACGCGACCCAGTGTAGACAGAGACCTGTTAATCTCGGCACCCTCTTTCAATCTTGCGCCAGTCGCACCCGTCGACTGAGCTCGTTCTGATCCGGCCAAATCGACCAAACTGATCTTGGCGACCCTCTCTCCGCTCATGCTTGTCTCGACATCGTGGCGCTTCTGGGTGAGGGTAAGGGTGAAGACGGCGTGCGATCGCGAGGACGTCTCGTTCATGTTGGTGGCAGCCACAGTACGGGCCTTGTTTCCCTCGTCCATGAGGTTCTCGATTTCGGGAAAGGACTGGACGACCAACTTGGCGAGATCTTCGACATAGGGACCGGTGGAGGGATGCTCGCGAACTCGCAGGTTCCCTTTATTCGAGGGGTTCAGCAGGTCGCGTACGCGCTCGTTGTAGATTTCCAGGTAGGACACTTCGACGGTGCAGGACGAGTTCTTGTCGGCTTGTAACCCCTTGATCCTCTCGAACATGTCCTGGCAAATCTTGGGGATGATTCCGTACTCAGCGCCATAGCCCATCATAGAGTACGACTTTCCCGAACCCGTCTGACCGTAGGCGAAGATACAGTTGTTGTAGCCCTGGAAGGCATTGTCGAGCAGCGGCTTGCCAAGATCCTCGTGGAGGTTGTCCTGGCCGGCATAGTTGGGAGCGTCGCGGTCGAAGGACCAGTACGACCTATCGAAGGCGAATGTCTTGGTGCCCTCGGAGGCGGCTTTGGCGGCTTTCCCCTTGATATCGGCATGGGCGGGAGGGGAGAGGATGGTCTGGTCGCCCTTCATCTGCACGATACACTGTGCATTGCGCGCCTTCTCTGCGCGTTGTTAATTGCGACGGTATAGTAAAGCCAGGGGGCTGCCTACCTCGGCCGTTGAAGGGCCTGCATCGCACCACGACCTTGATGTTTCCTCCGCCAGACGCCATGGTGGGCGTGGTGACTTTGTTCGTGGTCGGAATCCGGGGTATGCGGACAAAGGAGATGGCAACGGGCCGCTCGGTCTATGCAGCGGTCAGAGGCGGGATCCGGGAGACTTCATGGGCGGCGACGGCGGTGGACGGGCGAGGGCGAGGGCGCGGTCGCGGTCATCCACGGCTCAGGAGGCGGTGCTATGGCGAAGTTGTTTTGTTGATTGACCACGCCGGTGCAAGATTAGGTACGCGATCCTGGTGTCCCGACCCCTGCAGCCGACCACGAAGCTTGGACTGGCCTGTCGTCACCTGTGCAGCGGACCCTGACGCCGTTCAGGACACTGACACTCAAACGTAGTCGAGACAGATACAAGTTGATTACTACAGACTATGTCTCTCACGTCTCGAGGGTCGCGCCCAAAGCGCCCGCGTTCGGTACCTGACATGTGCCATGCTGGGGTCATCCTAACGGTGCCTGCGTCATCCCTCACCAAAAAATAATTCCCCAGCCGCGATACACCCACGCGACACCCATTCTCCGCGCGCCCACGATTCAATGTCGGCCACAGAAGCGACCACCGACATGTTCGCGCCCCCCGTGAACCGCGCCATGAAGGTGCTGGACCGCAGCTTCTTCCACAAGACCATCCCCACCTCGGCCGCCCGCATCTTCAACCCCAAGGACATATCGCGCTGCCGCAAGGAACTCACCGCCAGCAAGGACACGCTGCCAAGTAATCGCATAGATCCGATAAGAGTCGACCCCGATTCAGAGCAAGCGTCCAAAGGCAGCAAATGCCTGCTCCTGCGACCAGAAGTCGTTCACTCTGGTGAGTCACCCCACGGCAGTAGTACATGGGAGTACTGAGTCTGAAACCAGGCAGATCGAACGACCTGGTCCCCTAAGCTGCGCGATCTCGAGCAGGACGGCACGCTAGGCGTCATACCCTACCAGCTGCAGCTCAACTACGACTACTTCACCTACTCCGAGATCACGAGCGCAACCATCCCTCCGCCCGAGTCCGTCCACGACGATGAGATACCCCAGGGTTTCGCCCTCGCCGGCCACGTCGCCCACCTGAACCTCCGCGAACGGTACTGGCCCTACAAGCACCTCATCGCGACGGTCCTCGCAGACAAGAACCCCATGGTCAAGACGGTCATCAACAAGCTCGACAATGTAGGCACCGAGAACGCATTCCGCACCTTCCAGTACGAAGTACTCCACGGCCCAGACGACATGAACGTCGAACTGCGCGAGCAGGGCTGCACCTTCAAATTCGACTTTGCAAAAGTATACTGGAACACGCGTCTACACACGGAGCACGAGCGGCTCTGCAACATGTTCCGCGAAGGCGAGGCAATCTGCGACGTCATGACCGGCGTAGGACCCTTTGCCGTACCTGCGGGCAAGAAGAAGTGCTTCGTCTGGGCCAATGACCTCAACCCCGAATCCTACAACTCGCTCGTGGGAAACATCAAGATCAACAAAGTAGGCGACTTTGTCCGTTCCTTCAACACCGACGGCGGAGCGTTTATCCGTCAAGCCTCTGCGGATCTGTTGACGAGCGATGAACACTCTGTATCCATCTACCCCAAAACCAAATCTTCGCGCAGCAAACCAGAGGAGAAGAAACAGCCTGAACCCCTCAAGACGCTCGTCCAACCACGATTCTTTTCGCACTACGTCATGAACCTCCCCGCCTCGGCCATTACCTTCCTCCCCTCCTTTATCGGCCTCTACGCCAACGTCCCCGGATACCCAGCCTCTGAAATCAAGAAACTCCTCGCGCCACACACGTCGCAGAAGCTTCCCATGATCCATGTACACTGCTTCTCGACCAAGAGCGATGATAATGTGGAGGAGATCAAGGGCATCTGCGAAGAGGTTAGTAGGCAGTTGGGTACCGTGATCACACCCGATATGGAGGATGTGAACGTGTATGATGTGAGAGATGTGGCGCCGAAGAAGAGGATGTTCTGTGCTAGTTTTAGGTTGCCTGAGGAGGTTGCTTTTAGGGAGGTATGAATATTCGCTGTAGACGTAAAAGGGGCAAGATAGCATGTTGTCGGGCACACGTTTCACATGAGCTAATACCCACTGAGTGAGCCATGTTACAACACGGCAAAGCTATAGCTGAAGCCGATTGATATCCGTCCATCACGTCACTCTCTCCCACATGCTCTATAGATCCATCAACATCTCATCCTCGATATCATCGTCAAACTCACCCTTGATTCCACTCACATCTGCCTCTCCTGCTGTCCCCATACTCTGCCTCTCATCCCCTCCCGTCAGATCAACAAATTCCTCCATATCGAAATCGAACTCGCCGTCATCATGCACCTTCTTCTCTTCCTCGACGACAGGCTGCTGAACCACGACGCCAGAAGCACCACCGAAATCCATCGAGACATCATGTTCGAATCTCCCGCCTGCAGCGCGCTGTACGTCTTGACTTATACTCTCCTCCCTCTGCGTAAGATCATCCGCCTCTTTCCGCGCATCAAGCGCCCGCTGAATCCCCTCATGGATCTCACACCGCGCATCTGGGCCATCGATCCTCTCATACCGCTTACACAACAGCGCATCCAACGTAATCACCCACTCCATGATCTTCTTTTCACGCACCGGCTCGCCGAACACGTCATATGCGCTTTCCGACGCGTAACCCCATTCTGGGCTGTTGCGCTGCATGTCGAGTTTACGCGAGCTTTGTACGATGGTGTCGATGCTGGCTGGAAGATGGAATACCAGGTCTTGGATCTGGAAACCATCGGGTGTGCGCTCCAGTGGGAGTTTGGAGGACTTGGTGCGCTCGAGAGCGTCTGTTGTGCGGCGTCTGGGTCGACGTGTCTTCGCTGTTTCGTGGGGCGGCGCGATGCGAGGCTCCTGCCTTTGAGGTGCTTTTTGGGGGCGGGACAGGGAGCTGGAGTGTTGCTGTTCTTGCGTTTTGAAATATGCTTCTATCTCTTTGGCGCTTTGGTCGGGACGGTGCGTCGCTGGAGGCTTTGAGATTCGGTTAGACATCTGAGGGCCGAAGGTATGATCTTCATGTTCAGCAAAAGCTCGAAACTGATCAGCCACTCGTCGCGGATCGATATTCATCTGACCGTCATCGTTGACCAGTGAAGATTTTCTGATGCGCTTTGAGCGAGACTGCGGTTCCGCTGAGGAAGCTCGCGGAAAACCATCAACCAGCGATTCAGATATGCCCTTATCTCTGCCGCGTCCAAAGAAGTTACGAATATCTGTGTTGTTGTTTGAATGGAGTTGTCTAGCGACTAGCCGGTCTGCTGGATCCAACGCGGGTCTGCTTGGAGAAGATGAGGCGTTGTTTGGGAATGGTGCTCCTCCAGTCTTCTTGGCCTGCTTCTGTCGACGAGCTGGTTCGAGGGCTTGTGTACCAAGTAGATACTCTCCAAGCCCCATAGCATTCGACCTTTGCTTTGATGGTGCAAATGGTGTATTTACGTAGCCTGGTTGAGTGCGTCGGTTACGAGGAGCTGGGGTTACTGGAGAGGTCAACCGCTGTGAGCCCTTTCCGATCTGGTTGTAGTCCGCGAGTCCTGACTTGATGGAGTTGATGTCAGATCGTGCGAAATGGCTCGATGAGGCGTTCTGTGGCAGTGGCCCGATACGCTCGTGACGACCTCGATCGTCCGTGTCCCGCTCTTGTATCCGGTCGTCGAGAGCACCAGCTTCTGAACTGAGGCGCGACATATGCTGGATACTACGCTCCAGTTCGGCATCCAGAGGAGATCTCATGTTCGTCTTTGACAACGTCTGAGGTGTTAAGGGCACCGCTGACAATGGACGACGTGGAGTAACGGCAGGACTGGGAGAGGGGCGATGCGGGTCGCTACTTCTTTGGCTTTTGGCCGGGCTCGGCAGCTGTTCGTTGCTCACAGCTTGTTTGGGTTTGATCATAGTGTTCATTCGAGCAATGGTCCATGGATTGGACACCTCCACTGCGCGTAGACCCTTCTCCTCTTCCGTTTCGACCACAGGTGCTGGGTTTTCTTGCAGAAACTCTAGGTCTTCCTCATCAATACCATACATGCTTGACCTCCAGCGTGGCAGCGCCTGAGCCGGATCAGTCGTGGGTTGCTCATTCCGGTTTGCAGGCTCATCGTCATGTATCGTGATGGAGCTTTCGACGCGACTCGGTAGCTCCTCAAATTGGGGCTCATACTGCTGTTGCGCAGACGTCGGCATCTCAGCATCCTGAATATCTGGAATATCCTGAATGGCCTCAGGATAGTAAGCTTTGAGCAGCTTATCCACAACGGCAACAACCACTTCGCTGTTATCGAACATGACGTCGTCTTTGGCTGGCTCGATGTTGGGGTCGTAACTGTCAGGTGGACAAATGATGTTCATGTAGAAGAACGGATCCTTGACGCCAGCCAGCGCAGGCGCTGATTTGCGGAGTCGTTCCTTATAAGTTGTGATGATCCGCTTGATAGTACCACGACTGTTCGACACAGGCCTTGCATCGATCGAGACGAAGGCCCCTCGATGGGCTATCTTCGGTCCGCTTGCACCTGGCTTGGGCAGGAAAGCATGAATCTCGAAGCCGTCGGCCTCTAGAGCAGTCCAGTCGCACTGCAGAGCGCAATCTTTACCGATGACTTTCAGGACTGCATCTTCAATGTTGGCGTCGGCTTTCGGTGCATAGACAAAGTCACCATTGCTGTTCTTCGCTTTCAGTACGCGGAGCCGGAAGCGTATAGTAGGCCTGGCCAGTGCATAGGCTTGCATCAGCCGCCGGATCTTCGCAAGCGTTTTCGCCGAATTCTTGATCGCCGTCTCCTTTCGGACGGGTATGAAGTCAAAGAACTTGGTAACCTTGACCGTCGTGCCAACTGGATGGGAGTCGTGTTCAGTGCTGCATACATTAGTCCGTGATAGCTATCCGTGAGATTACCATTGATGTCTTACGAAGCCAGCTCGCCGTTCCGATCATACTTCAGCTTGAAAGCGACTGGCTCTCCTTCTACTCGAGTAGTGACAGAGAGCGAGCCACTCATGTCGGCCATGCTTGATAATGCCTCACCGCGAAAGCCCAGCCATTTCCCTCCGACTTCTCTCAGGTCGTGAAAGTCTCTAATCTTGCTCGTGCAGTAGCGGCGACATACAAGAGGGCGATCTTCAGCTGGTATACCATGGCCATCATCTTTGACTTGGATAGAGTCGACCGTGTTAGCAGTGATATCAACAAATATGCTCTTCGCTCGCGCATCTAGAGCGTTGTCTATGAGCTCTTTGACGACGGAACTGGGATCAACAAGGACCTGTCCGGAACCGATCTGTCGCGTTGTCGTTGGTGGGAGAGCCACGATGCTGGGTACCGCAACACTGTCGAGGCCTTCCGCCATGCTGGTAGGACCGAGAATGAACTTGCGGAGGTCCCATCGGTGGCAGAAGATTGAGCCCGAGTGAGACTCATGGTTTGGTAGTCGGTGCCTCTATCGTGCCTACCTCTTCCACCCAAGTCGCGTCCGACGTGGAAAGAGCCTGACGCGACGCGCCGAATGCTTCGTTTGCCCACTCATCTCGTCTACATTGGTCTTTGCTATGTAAGGAACGCTGCGTGAATCGCGTGTCTATACGCGATGTTTAGGTGTTAATAGAGATGAGTTTAGCGTGCGTCATCGCGTGCTCTCAAACTGGCTCTCGAAGTATCCAATCACAGCGTAGATAGCCTACGGGTGCGGGAAGACTTCCAGAGCTCTTAAGAGGGCCCGTTGCCGCGATTACTGTCGCTCTCCGTACCTGACTGACTGTTACTTTGCCATCTCAGTTTCGCGCAGGACGAATTTGAGCCTGCTGTACATTCGCGTTGTTGAGCTTCAGACGTTCTTGCTGTCTGGAAACATCTCTAGGTTTACAACATAGAAGGTATACTTTGCGCACCATCGCTGCGAGACTTTAATTCATGCTAATCACGTAGTCCTGTTGTATAAATCCTATACCATGGCCTATTCGACTGACGCTGCACGCTGGCGAGCCCTTTCGACACGAGATGCAGACGCGAATGGGCACTTCATTTACTCCGTCAAATCTACCCGAATCTACTGTCGGCCAACGTGCCCTGGACGACTAGCGAGGAGAGCAAATGTCGGATTTTATGCGACACCACTAGAAGCAGAGGCAGCTGGGTTCAGGGCCTGCAAGAGATGCAAGCCCAACACCGTACTCGAAGATCCACAGGAGCGAGCGGTAGAAAAAGCATGTGTATTGATTGATGAAGCTTTAAAGAACGAGGACGCCAGGGCATTGAGACTGCAAGATCTAGCCAAGAAGGTCAATCTCACGCCGCGGTACTTCCATAAGATCTTCAAGGACAAGATGGGGTTGACACCGAAGGAGTACGCAAAGAGAAAGGCGAACGAGCGCAACAGCCCCAGCACGCTATCGACATCGGCGACAGCAGAAGATGGAAGTAACCAGTCTTGGGATTGGGATACATTCGATTTCAACGATCTAGTCGACTTGGGTACAGACTCGAGTGCCCTCAACACGGATGATCTCGCCGTGCTCGAGGAGCAATCCTCTATGATCAATCCCGACCTCGACTTTGACATGACCAGCTTTATCCAGTCTTGGAGCGACAGCTATGCGTTCGATCAATCGATCTCGTGGCCTGCCGACTGCGACAACCTTGCCGACCCCTTCCTAGGGTTGTCAGACACTATGGGCTTGTACGAGAAGGCGAGGCCGTCCGTCTCCACACTCGAGTTGGACGCCGCGGCGTTATTCGATAGCGATAGCGCAAGCAGTATCCTGCAGACGTAGCCTCCGTAGCGTCAATACATAAAATGCCATGCGCATCTCTCAAGATGTCGCATTGTGCCCTTGTCATCACATCTGCTCGCGCGATATGTCATCTCTGTACCCCCGAGTCGACATCGCGCGTCGTGTACGTCACGCGTTGTGTGCAGCGGTCGCTTAGGAAATCGTAAATAGCAGGCACCTAGTCTTTGCATCGTCAGCGACAGTTCTAAACCGAATTCCATAACGTGAGAGTGATGATGCTCTTCAGAGACCAAGTTATAAGCAGCGACGGCGTAGCATTTGTCGATGCTAGCCATACCTTTTCCGGCTCTTCCTAAAGTGTTTAATGGTCGATGTACATATCATCTTTTGAGCTGTGCGCGCGCGTCGCGAGGACGCGGATGCGGTGAATAGAAGGAAATGTGAACGTACCAAGAGAAATGAAGCACAGCAAGCAGCGGCTGTAGGTTAGTGTAGAACAATCAGCGAGCTACTATTGATGCGCGCCACTGCTCCGTAGGGCTTTGCGTAGCTTGCACCATGGTGGTGGAGAGTTGGTTTGGCGGCGTGTAAGAGCGGATGAAGAAAAGTTGAAGGCTCGGAGGAAGCTGCAGAAGCCGCCGCCAGGGACCCACATCTTTCAAGCGAGACGCTAACGGCATTCACTCGCTAGTTTCACCTGCATCCATACATTTGCTGTAAACTTCGAATCTTTAGCATGTTAAGCTTGTCGCTGAAGGTATATACCTAGCTTTCGAATCAATCCTCAATCGGTCTTTCAATATCCACGAGTTCCAACGATAACATGAGAAGGCTCACTCCCCAACAGCCTCCCAAGCACTCAAAGGATCCGCCCATATCTCCCAATGCCCTATCTTCCCCTCATGATCAAACCCACTGAACCGATAGATGAACTGCTCATCCCATCCCTTGCCCGTCTTCTTGCTCGTAAACCTTCCTTTGCCGACAACACTCACCATCCCAGCATCTGCATCCACAATGAACCCGCTGTCTCGCGGGAACGCATCATCCGGCAAGACCATGTCCAGCACATCAGTCATCAGCTTGAAGTACTCCTCGCAGCCGTCTTTGCCAGAGAATGTCTTGGCTAGGAAAGGCAGCCGCGAGCGTGACCACTCAGGGCCGTGCTCTGTGATCTTGGGCGACTTGGTGAAGTAATTTGATAGGAGGTCTGAGGGAGGAGGGGGCGAGATCAACGCGCAGCAGAAGAGGTATGTTGACATTCGCAGCTCCATGCTGCGATCTGAAAACATGACTGGTGGGTCTTCCTCCGCGAGGGTCCTTCCGAGACGGTGAAGCGGGTATGTTGGTGTTGCTGGCCCTCGCTGTAAGCTGTAAGCGATGTACGTGGGCCCTGTTGCGTGCTGATCGGTCGGGTTGTATGCAGTATCGCACGCTCCGAGTTGTGATTTGATATACCCGCAAAGTGGCGTATGCACCAGGGTGTGCTAACAGGTTGTCGGTTCTGTTGCGAAGCGGTGGGCGTCAGCCGAAGACGCAGGTAAGATTTTGGGTTTGGCAGCTTTCAACGGCGAATTGATGCCCTTGATCCAGGAAAGATATCAGTAACGAATATCACAGGTGGGTACGCTGTGACCAATAATGCGATATGAGTGCGTGGGGAGATGCGATCGATGATGGGTTTGGAGAGCATGCACGAATGACTGGCGATGAAGTCATCGTGATATTTACCTACACCGGTGTACAGCGCCTGCATTTACATGCTGGCTCAGGCGACATGGTAAGGAGGAGCGTTGTTCCACCTGAGCATGATGAGCACGCCTTCCTGAATCGCATTCCTCCGAGAGATCCGAGCCTGCCTATCATGGTGGTACTCAAGTTCGTCATGCATTGGATTTCGCGCGTAGAGCCACGCCACAAAAAACAACATGCTCATTACCACCTACGACCAACTTCAGCCACAGCCGATGGTGCATAATTTTGTATTCCCAAAAAGTAGCCAACGCAATCATCTCAGGGTCCGCCAATGCGACCAGCGCCAACATACCGTAAGGGGCGTATGTTAGCAAGGCTATCATCTAATCTACAGCGTAGCATGCATATGCAGCTTACACAATGTAACGGTCCTGCGGATGTTCCCTCTCTTCGCTTCAACGTGGGCATTCTGTTGAGTCAGATGAACTGCATGCAGACGGTCACGCAATTTGCATCATTTTTCGCAATTGGTTCTGGGTGAGTAGTTATCAAGTGAGAAGCTGGTGAAAGACTGCGTTGCTGCCCTATGGAAGGACTAATATTGAGTTTGATTAGTGTTGCCCTTGGGCCAGAATTATGTCCAAGGTAGTAGAGAAGCCTGCTGCCCACTCCCAAGATCTTGTAAACTGTAATAGCAGAAAGCTCCGCTGGGAACTGACTGTAAAATGCTGTTCCATGGTATCCGTCCCGTGTTCCACGGCCCCTTAAACGCCTCGCGCTGTGTGGTTATATACAAATACGATTTCAACCTTGGCCGACGAAAGATAGCGACTTCAGTCCATCGCGGTAAAGAGACATACCTGCCTGGCCATCTGACTGGCCAGCAAGATCTCCCTAAAGACTTGGTCCATGCCGCCCTTGAAATGGATCGTGTAACTGTCCACTTTACCCTTCCTCCTCTTTTCTCCCCAGACAAGTTTGATCAGCTTTGCATCGTCGCATCGCTTGCCCGTCCTGCTTCCTGGCTTTACCCAGTCTTGCTGATATTCGTACAAAGTCTCCGGCATGGCATCGTCGTTCGGATCTCCCTGCTTCCATACGAAGCGGCGTCCACCATATTTGAATCGTCGCGGTGACCATGGTATCTTCTGTTGCCTGTCTGGGTATTCTTTGATCGGTTGCGAGAATGGTCCGCGTAGATGTATGCACCGCGACTTGTAGGCCGCGTCTTTGGTCATGGCGCGCTTCTTGTCAATGCCGGAGAGAAGGATGTTTATGCATGGTTGTGGGTACTCGGCGACACGGAAGAAGTCTGCAGCGTTGACTTGACTGTCGTCGCGGTGGGTGGCTTCAAGCATGTATAGAGCGTATTTATCCGAGTAGTCGCGTGCGCTGTAGATGAATTTCCTGAAGCCCGAAGATCCCGTCCATTCTCGCGTGCGGTGAAGATTGTACGTGGTCGTGGGCTGGTGAGGGTCGAGCAGCGAGTGGTACGGTGTATTTGGAGAGGGAAGTTCGTCACGCGGGGCATGTGAGACGGGCGAGTATGAAGTTTGCCATGTAAGGAGGTTGTGGATCTGAGGCATGTCAGTCACGACCCAGCAGTGGACAGGAATTGCTACTCACTGCAGACAGACTCTCGCTCTCCTCGTCCAAGTCTCCGTTCGCACCCCATTGGTTCGGTGCTGCTACAAAGACACACTCGTTCCCATCTTCGTCGATCTGGTCGCTCCCACTTTCAAGATGCGGCCTTAGCGCCCGCTGCCTCTCCCTGTGGATGTTGATCTGCGTCTTGATGATGCGCACTTGCTCGTCTGAGTTGTCGTCTGGCGATATACTGGCATGTGATTGCTCAATCTCTTGCTCCAACGCCATCGCTGCTGCCTCGTGTTGCAGATAGGAAGTGTCGTAGAGCCAGGCATGTTCGGATTCAAACGCAGAGCTTCGCAAGAGCTCCAGATGCTCCCGTGACGTGAGTGCTGGGCGGTCCATGGTTGGGGTTTGTGTGGTGTGAAAGTTCAGGCTGGCGAATATTTGAAGGCAACTTGTTCCAGACCGAGGAGTAAAAAGCAAGTCGAAATGAAACGGGGTGGTGATTCAGCCTGGGGTCGCGAGGCAGCAAAAGGAATATGGAGGCACATGAGGAATGAGGGACGGCGGGCTGGACATAGCTGCTGGCAGCAGCTGATGAAGCACCATAAGAGTAGCGTCGAGCTGCATCCCCGTCGCGCCCGCCGCGCCCTGTCATACCGACTCTACTGTTGTGGAACACGGCGTACTGGGGGGCCAGAAGTCACCGTCGCATGGATAGGGTTCACGCACGGCCGCCCTCGGCTAGCTCAATGACTGACACTCCATACTCCAGGGCCGGAGCAATGCATCGGAAGATTAACTCTGCCCTTTGACTTTTCCCTCATTTGCAGCATCAAAGCACGGTTGGCTGCATGCCCTTGGCGGTCCCGATGATCTGTTATGCTCTCGTGCGATGGCCTGGAGCTGTCGGCGTGCCTTCGTCCATCCATCATCTAACATGGCGTGAGTGCCCAGGTGGAGATTGCCATGGAGTCCTTTCGTTTGCTCAATCTCTCTACACACCTGGTCTTAGCGCAAGACCAGTCCCATGGCGCATGACGAGTCTCACCGTCCTTACAGCAGCAGATTGCGGGCGCTTAGCAGGCATCGGACTCCGAACATGCGGTCTGTTCTTTGTCCAACCAAGCCACACACCACTCACAACATGCCGCTAACAGCCACGGCGTGCGCCGCTCCCACCATCCCTGGATCTTCAGTGTCTTCGAGAAGCGACTGAAACGTCCGGTACAAACCTTGCCTATATCTTACGCAGGGCCAGAGGACCCCGCGCTGGATGAATGCCGTGAAGCCCGCTGGGCATACGAGAAAGCGTTGCGCTGGGACCTGGCTGCTGACGGGCATTACCCCACACCGTTATCAGACATGTGCAGCGCCTTCGCCCGGCTGTACGGAATGAGAAATCTAGTCCATTACTTCTTCATTAGGTACAGCGATACCCGCAGCACTGCACGTGGTCGCAACTGGCTACACGATGTTCCTATAGAATGCGAGCCCAAGCAACGTAAGAGTTCGGAAAGATGACGACACGCACTGAAGAGCAACGTCAGCAATGCCTTTACATTCTGACCGCAGCACGTTATAGCTTTCGTCGTACTGAAGAAACCTGCCAGAAGACCAAGATCATCACAAGCATCGAGTATCCTATAGGAACAAAGGACCACTGGGTCGGTATTGCCCCGGCATCCACCGGAGCACAAGCGAGACTTGCTACTACTGCTCCGAGCGCGTCTTCTGACTCTACCGGGATCCGACTAGTTTGTTGACTTATTGAAACCAAACGATATTGAGACATTCCCACATCGGTCCTCCGCCTCCCGCTCTCTCGGTGTAACGCATGTTATGTGCTCAAGCGAGAAGTGCCAGAGGAATATGAAGAGTGGTCCTGGGGGGGGGCGGTTTCTACATGTCATAAGCCATTGAGACATACAACCAAAGATACCAAGTCTGGAGGACGAACGCGTATCGCATGCGCACGAGAACCCGAATGGCGTCGTAATAGATGTCTGCGACAAGATGTAACGGTACGCCAGAACGCCGAACAGGTCGCCGAACTGTGGCAGGATGGCTCACCGCTTCGGTTACATTGTGGCACTGGCTTGCTACACAGCATCGCGTGGATGGTCGCACTGCCAGTCTGCAATGCAAGGTACGTTGCTTCGACTTCATTACCGGCACTATGGTTCCGACAGGTTGCGATCCCTTGAAAACCTCATCTCATGCCATGCAATGGTACCAACATCATGGTCCCATCTAAGATCTTTGTCATAGTCAAGAACGGACATACCATGCGAGATAAATGGTACATGGTAACGGCTTCATTGGTTGATGTCCATCGGTTATACACAATCAGAACAAGGGATCGCTCTCTTTGATCGGCACCAGTTCACCCTTGCCTTTGAACACCTCTACAACATGAGCTTGCTCGCTTAGCATGAACCTCGACGTCTGGTTTCCCACACCAGCCAGCCCCCTCCATCTCTCCAGATCCTCCTTCTTCCTCTTATCGCCCAGAGCCTCCTTCGCTCTCTTCCAGTGACCCTCCGAGAACGCGATCAACGTCGTCATCTTCTTCTCCTTGATGTCGTAGACAGCAGAAACGATACTGCCGGTCTCCTCGAGCCAGTTTATCTGCCAAAGTTCACCGGGACGGATACATTGGTACGTTGCGCGCTGGTAGTTTATGCGGCCAGCCATTGGACCACCGTGAATGGCATAGACGACACGGTCCGAAGAGAAACACCATAGTTCGTACCGCCACTTTTCGGGTTTGCCATCGTTGTCTTGCGCATCGTAATCATAGATTAGATGTGTGTCGAGAATGTCTTTGTCGAAGCTGGGGTCGAGCTTGGTGTTCGTGAGAAAATCAGGCAGGTTATCGCCTGGTGCCATGGTGTCTGAAAGCTTTCTGTCTGGTATTGAGGGAGGTAAGGATACCAAGCATCATGATGGATTTCAGTTGGATATAGTTGATGCTCGGCACTACCGGATCGATGACGTAGGTGCAGTTTCAAGAGCTAGATCCCGCGCGATGCAACGCTACTAGGAAGTCGGCATCTAGATTCGCCTTTGCGATCGGTCCGAGTGGAAAAGAAATATGGTCGAGTGCACCCAATGCAGTGCGTATGCTAAGTACACCTACCTACAATCGTACCGTTTCATAGAAGGAAGACCCGAACGCCATCACCCAGCCATGGATCGGATGTTCGCCACAAAAAGCCAAATTACTCTGGCGCCGTACGGCTGAGACGACTGGAGTGGGACCATGGAGCAAGGCCATTCAGGATGAATACTGTACCATCATCGCTGCCCCCGCGCCCACCTCCGCGTCCACCTCCGCGTCCCCCTCAGCGTCCAAATCCGTGTCCAGTTCAGCGCCCAATGTCGACATACTGGCTCGAGCGACATCCGACGACATGGATATACTCGTTCAAAGAAAGGCATTCGTAGTCACAAAGCTTCGCACAATCATGGCTATTCTCGAGCACGAGCCGGACGGCCTGATACCGAACATTCTCTTCACGAGATTGACGAGACGTTGGTCGGCTACGAGGACCGCCAATGTAAAGGAGCCTAAATGGAGAGATTTCAGCAGCTCAAAGGGTCTACTCATACAGATCGACGAAGACGGAGTCGAGGTGCGACCTTCTCTCACCCGCTCAGACAGACCGATTACTATCAACCCTGCCGTCAGTTATGCGTGCTGCCCTGACGCAAGAGCACTATTTGGGACAGACGTACATGTCCACGACAATACCGACGATATTAGAGAGACCTTCGATATCGTGCTGTCTTGTTCGCGATCCAGCGGACCCCGATCCAAGGAAGATTCCGCATGCCAGGACGCAGAGACGGAAGCGCACGCTCACGTGGATGCGCTATACAACACATGGAACCGTGTCTGCAATCGTCTGGCTACGCCCCACACCAGACTCGCGCATCCTGATAACGTGTGGGAAATGGAAATCGCATCGCCAATATACCTACCGTATTTTTTGGGACACGACTCCTCCATGGAAACCGTCTTCGGTCAGCTAAGCCAAACCTCTCATTACCGCGAGTCGATCAAGCAGGCTATCCTACACTACCAAGAGCTAGCAGGGCGCCCGATCCGTGTGCTCTTCATTTTCCCAGGTTGTGACGGACTCACGACCTCCAACAGGTCGTGGGGGCAGATGGCGGGACAGTTTCCTCTTGTACAGTTCAGCCTGACGAGTATGAATTACGATACGTTCGCAGACAAATACCCTTGTTTGTATACGAAGAGGGGAACATATTCATTCGCGCACCTTAAAGTGGACGATCTCGCTGCGGAGTGGGCTATAAGGGAAACCAGCAACGACCCTACACTACGGGTTTTGCAGCGACCGAAAGAGCACCGATTTCTTTGGTGGCTATCCGTACTCCATCACCACGAGTCTACTCATCATTGGCCTTCACCGCAGCAGCTTGAGAAGCCCGACGAGGTAAAGCGTCTGACCATTCCGCGACATACCCTGCCCGACGAGATGAACAACACTCAGAGCGAGCCAAAAGCGTGCGAAAGCTGTGGGGGCGAGACTGAGCGTTGCTGGACTAGAGGGGCTGAATCGCACACTATACGATGTGACAGGTGTTGAGTGAGGGACAGGAAGTGATGTTCGCACAAGACGTGTCCGCCTTAGTAAGAGGCTCTGGTTAGTGATCAGTCCACAGAAATCCGGCTAACCATATGGGGTAACATTATTTCTTTGCTAGTCCACCAAACAGCACGGTCCGAACAATTAAGGAAACATGACGCTGGCTTACGATATCACAACAAAATTTCGGTCTTGGTATGTGACGGACGAATGTAGGAGAATTCTCGCAGGGGCTATCCGTCGACGGTATAAAGGTCGACGGGTTTACAGAAATGGACAACCAACACATCCATCACCCTCGACGCTTCAATCAACTGCCTAACGATTGATCATTTCTATATACACCATCTACTCCTCAACTTCCCAATCACCCAAAACCAGCCTTCCGAGATGTCAACTCCCTCTCTTCGCTCGGTCATCGGAGTCCCCAACTCAACAGCATCGGTCAAAGACTCCGTTCTCGTCATCATCGACGCTCAAGACGAATACATCTATGGTAGCCTACCTGCTCAAGACTACAAGGAGGTCAACATCGCCATCTCCAGCCTCCTGGAAAAATACCGAAAGCAAAACGGCCATATCGTCCACGTCCTGCACAACACGGGCGATGACGAAGCAGCTATCTTCAAGCCTAATGGCAAGCTCACCAAGGAAATGGACGGCATCGAAGCTATTAACGGCGAGCCTATCGTGTGGAAGAAGCATGCTGGATCTTTCTCAGAGACAGACCTAGCAGAGATTGTTAAGAAGACTGGGCTTAAGAAAGTTGTCCTTACGGGATACATGGTGCATGGCTGTGTGTCGAGTACCGCTCGCGAAGCGACTACTTTGGGATACGAGGCTCTTGTTGTGGAAGACGGTGTTGGTCAGCGCGATATGAAGGATATCCCGGCTGTGCAGGTTAAGAAGGTTGCGCTGACGGAGATTGATGATATGTTTGGTACGGTTGTGAAGGCTTCGGAAATTAATTAGATGTATGAGATCTGGTCTAGTTAATGCTCCCCACGCTGGTCAGCGGAGCTTCCTGTACGAAACGATAATTATATAATTATCCAAATGCATCGGAACCGTGTAATCGCCATATGTGTACGTCGCGCACCGAATGCCGAGGCCTCATTCTCTGATAGGCGTGCCGACGTTTGAACCTTCGCTGGCCCGTTTGCGCTGGCCAAGTACGAAACCTTCTTCTGTTATAGGCGTGCCGATACTTGAGCCGCCGCTGGGCCGCTTGCGGTGGCCGAGTACGAAACCTTCTTCCGCATCGAACATCAGCTTTGTCTTCGCAGCTTGTCCTCTTAGCGGTTGTGCCGCCCGTGTTTTAGAGTCCTCGAAGACCTCTTTGACCTGGGTTGCTGTGAGCTACTGATCGGGTATATCTTTTCCGTTGACACTTACATCAAAGCCTTGCATCGCCGTGCCGAAAGTAGACATTCGATTATCATAGCATGCACCGTTCTTCCACATCGCAAACAGTCCAAAGGCAATGGAGATGGTACTAGCAAGGATGGCCAGTCCGTATGAGAGCAGGAGGTTCTGCGGGTTGTAGGCGTAGACGACCGCAGAAGTGAACGTGGTGACATTGACAGGGACTTTGGTACTTTATTTCCAGCGTTAGCCTTCGAACACATCACGGGATTGTAGCTTACCAAAGCGAAGCATCGTTGACCATGCTCAAAGACACATTCAGCGCAAATGCTTCGACGTCCTCACGGAATGAAATATCCCGGACGCTGGACGGGTTTTGAAGAGTGTTGACAATTTGGATTGCCTGGTTTATGTCGCGAGTCATGTTGTAAAACTGCGCCCCCGTAGAAAGAGATGTCGCGTCAAGCCGGCCAGCCGAATCCAGTGACATTCGCGTGTTATCCCTGTGCCAGGCGACATACCCAAGCAAATAGCTTGCTAGGCCTATGGTATATCCAGAATAGGCAGGAGAGCCCTGACCTGGCGAGAGAGAGCTATTGACCCACGCATCCTTCGGATCGTACTTGTTGAGTAACTCCCAATGAATGTTCTCGATACCGACTACACTATTGCGGGTTTTGACGGTGTATGAGACAGTAGCGTTCCACACTTCGCATGACAAATACTCCGTATCAGATTGATACGGTACATCAGTTGGTCTTTTCTGAATAGCAAAAGCAAACTCGTTGGTGGTTTGCTCAGTATTGTTCCAGTTCAGACCTAATGGAGTTTTCTCCAGGGTCCTTGGATATGAGAGTCCGAGGTAACCAATCTCTCCGTAGGAAGGGATCTTAGAATTCGTCCATTTCAGACTGTCAGTAGTCAAGTTATTCACCGCGGCGACTCTAGTCTCGTTGGCAAATCGCAATATATCGTCGTGCACGGTGTTATTTGCTGCGGTGCAATTCAGTACCGGCAGAAAGGCTTCTGTCTCGTACGATGTGTTTAGGTGAGAATGAGGCGCTTCGAATGGAAGACGGCTACCGGAAGATGCGACTGCGTTTACGATTCGTCCGAGTCGAGCTGAAGGACCCGAGATCCAGGGAAGGTACGCAGAATTCCTAAGAACGAACGCGTCTGACATGCTGAGGTTGTTTATATCCGCTCTTAGCGCTTGTTCTATAGAGTGTGATTGCGTTGTTCTCGTCTCGACTGATAATGTTGGGGGAGCGAACAATGTTGGTAATGGTAGACACCTATAAACCGTCAGTGACACTCATTCAAAGGTGCATCTATCGGTTACCATAGTATGAGTGCAACTATGAGCCCAAAGTGCAGCTCCCGGATGACTTCAAGGTTGAAGAAAGCGGATAAGTTTCTCGAAATATCGAAAGAGTCGTCGATAGATCTCAAGCTTATTGAACGCGCCCGGAGACGCATCCACACAAACTGCGTGTATGCGATGCCGACGGCGATCTTGAGGCTCAGAGCGATGCTGATTGCGAAAGCGTTACCGAAACTTACAAGGGTCAGTCATGAACGTGGGCGTATGTCTTAGTACATACCGTAATGACCACTGCTGTCGCCCTGTCGAGCCTATCACATCTCCATCCAGCATTGTGTAATATCGATGATGTCCTACTGCGAGAGCAATGCCGAAGAAATAAGAAGCCAACATGTTTGTCGGAGTGAGCCAATGGGATTTTGCAAGTGTTCGGAAGTTAGTGTTGTGCCCAGAATTAGCTGTCAGTGATTGCAGAGCAGATGCAGCGCCGCCATCGCTTGCATGGGGTATCAGCGGTATGTCCGTTTGAGACATTGCGCTATCATGTCGGCGATGAGCCATTGCGATCTGTGGTGTTAGAGCTCAGACCAGGATTAATAGTGTAGATGTACCGAGCTTGTAGCGTAGGTGAGAGCGAAGCAACGAAACGAAGAACATGCGCGACAGATTCCGAGGTAACAGGTACTTCTTGTGGTGCATCCCTCTTGTGCTCAGCCCCGCCATCTAGCCAAAGCCTATAAGTCCTCGATAGCTCTTTGGGCGATGTTTATGCAGTATTGCGGCGTGGCTAGGCTGTGAAACGTCAAACGATTGGCCGAGCCTACCTTGCAAGCCTCCATGTGACGAATTCTACATGGTTCTAATCTATGTGTTTACCCCACTCACACATCCTTCTCTGCATGAATGACAACATGCTCGGTCGATCTTCGCCCAGATACCCCTCTCAGAATAGGGCTGTCGTCTAGCGGAGCTACACCAGCTCGCTTTGCCTCCGCTTCTGTGAAGGTACCGTATAGATCGATAGGATCGATCTGGTCCATATCTAGAACTGGGAAGATCTTGTTGAGGACATAGAAGACGAAAGCGCTGATGAAGAATCCTATCAAGGTGTCAGTGGCCCTTCAATTTCCATTGTCGTGAGACAATTTACTCACCTATGAAGAAAGCCATATTGTAGAGCTGTACCAAAGCCCGTGGTGGATCGACATCTCCTCTTACTGTCACTATAAGACCCCCAATCGTCGGGATCCATCCACATAGCCATGAGGGTATCGCCCGCCAATTGAAACCTTTGGTGAACCAATACGACGAGTTTTCAGTTCGATATAAATGACTCAAGCGGATCCTTCTCTTTCGCAAAAGGAAGTAGTCGCATGCCATTATGCCGATGATTGGTGCTAGAAAGACCGAGAAGGAAGACAGTACGGCGATAAATGTAGTGGCACGGTTGATGAGCTGCCAGGGTTGAACGACCCATGCCGCCACAAACGTAATTATGGCACCACGTCGTATGTTGATGTAACGTGGGAAAAGGCCAGCAAGATCGATACCACCGGAGACAGCATTTCCGCAAATGTTCTCGAACATTGCGGTAAATGCGAAACCTGCAGCCAGGAAGAATACCCCCGCACGTGCCTTCGATGAGCCGTTACCGTTGTCCATCATGCGCATGAGTAGATCCGGTGGGTTCCAATAGATTTCTCCATACAACTTTTGTCCTGATGCAGTTGTAACAAGACCAACTAGAGAGACGATGACGCTGGTGATCACACAGCTAGTGATAGTACCGACCATGTAGGGTGTTCTTCCACGAGAATAGCGTGAGAAGTCGCTGCCGTTTGTGATACCCGCAGCAATGCCACCAAGACTCTGATTGATGCCAGCCATGATGAGCCAAGAGGTACCCCAGGCGGAACCCGAGGGAATGTTTTCGCCGGCATTCCATAGAGGGCCTACACCTTTAGCAGTCGTCACTGCCCAGATCATCCATGCTAACATTCCGATGCCGCACCAGAGGCAGACTATGAGGAACGGTATCTTGAACTTCTCCGGTCGCAGCCACAAGAAAGGTGTCGATATGAACCAGAAGACTACGAATCCCACAAACTGGTCGGTGGTAGCAGGGAAGTTGGGGCTAAACGTGTTCGGCATACGGGCATACGAAGGCCAGATCGCGGTTAAGCACACAGCGACTAGACGGCCTCCATTCCAACCTGGTTCAAATTAGCATCATAGTACCCAGTGTGCCCTCATAGTTCTCCGACTTACACTGAACGGCGTTCCATATGAAATTGAGCAGGATTCTCTGCGACAAAGGTATGAAACTCCCGCGCATTCCCCAACTATACCTGTTCTGTACTGTGAAGCCAATGTGCCACTTCAATCCAACCCAAGCAATAAGTGTGGAGAAGAAAGCGATCAACAAGCAGCTCACAACGATGATAAGGATAGACTGTGAGACAGATAAACCCATAGCTTCAGTGATATCAGCGATCGAAAGCGACGAGAACCATATGGTATAGCTTACTCAAGAAAGTACTTGGCGTTTGCCAATTCGCGAGGTTCAGCGATGAAATCGCCCAAAACCCGAAGAAATTGAACCAGCCCCATGTCCTGCGCTCTGGCGGGAGGGGGATTAAATCGCGGTTGCTCCATGCATCTGTTTGCTCATGCTTCGCATCGTCTCCACGGAGTCGTACTTTCTCATCGATATTCCTCAAGCGCTGTCTCAAAGTCATGATGAACGCGAACCAAGGAACGCGTCGCTAGTCAAGGAGGCTGGGAGGGAAGTAATTGCGACGAACGCCAGTGGTGAGCTCTTTCCGCCATCTTAGTGTTGCTACCCTTGTTATCAACCGCGCTCGGAGTCACCCCAATCTAGCTGATCTAACGCCGACCCAAGTTTAGTGAAGATGATAATGCGCCGACCGGGGCGACGATGCAGCATACGCGGGAAGAACACCTTATCCGCCGTTAGAAAGAGGGGTGTTTGCGCCTATCTTATCTGATCATCCGAGCGCAGTGATCAGCGCCGAAGAAATCCCATCTCAACCTCTGCTGCTACCAATGGGCAAGCTGTTGATGACTGGGTAAAGAGTCGGAGTAGGAAGTAACTCCAAAAGTGGGGTATGGGTGAGCGATAAAGTAGGAAGGCGGCTTGGGCCGCGAACGTCCGAATTCCGGACCTAGCTCGCCCCACCAATCGAAATCTTATCAGATGGATTCTGGATGCATCACGGCCAGCCAACTCCAATTCGATCAGAAGAGGCTTGCATCTTGGAAGTATTCACGGCTACGATGGCGACAGGAAAGAATCTGCGAATAGGCGTTGACGTCGGTGGGCACGTACTGTACATCAGAACTACGAGAGCCATGAGGCTAATACTGCGAATAGAACCAACACTGACGGAGTCATCATTGATCCTATAAGATCGGGTGAAGATGACCGGGGAATTGTTGCTTGGTACGAGTCCTATACCCATACGTTGAACACCACGCTTCCTCGCTTAGCCCACTCCCTCATAAGACCCAAAGAACACCCATGATGATGCCTACCGGAAGTCGATCACCCCCTGATGAGAACGCGAGCTCATACCATAACTCAGGCACAAGGCACCCACTACTACCGACCCAAGTCATGGCATTGCCGATGCCATTACCACCATGTTCAAATCCGCCTCGGTCGACCCTTCTTCCGTTGCGAGTGTGACAATCGGAACGACCCACTTTGTCAACGCAGTCGTAACCCGCGACCGAACACGTCTTTCTCAAGTCGCCGTCCTCCGTCTTTCTGGTTCTTTCAGCAAACATGCACCGCCATGTGTCGACTGGCCAGCTTCTCTACGTAACATCATTCTTGGACACTATGCGCTCATCAAAGGAGGACTGGAGGTGGATGGAAGCCTCATCTCCGACATCAAAGAACACGAGATAATAGAGCAATGCAAGATCATCAAAGAGAAGGGAATCAAAAGTATAGTCGTGAACGGCGTCTTCAGCCCTATCGATACGGTAGAGAAGCAAGAAGAGCGTACTGCGGACATCATCCGGCGTGAGCTAGGGGACGGTGTCGATATCGTTCTTAGCAAGACCGTCGCAAACCTGGGGTTTCTGGAGCGCGAGAACGCTGCGATACTCAACGCCTCGATTCTGTCATTCGCCAGGAAGACGATAGCATCATTCCAGACACCAATCAAGGCACTTGGACTGAACTGCCCTGTTTTCATCACCCAAAATGACGGCACGATACTGAGTGGCGAAGCCGCAAGCCGACTACCGATCCGAACCTTCTCATCCGGCCCAACGAACAGTATGCGTGGTGCTGCTTTCCTTGTCGGGAGGCAGGGGAATGGCGAAGCAATGATGGTTGTGGATGTCGGTGGAACTACCACCGACGTGGGCTTGTTGCTCGCAAACGGCTTTCCCAGGCAGCAGGCCGCGTACTCGGAGCTTTCTGGAGTGAGAATGAACTTCTCATATCCAGACGTGAAGAGTATAGGACTAGGAGGCGGAAGCTTGGTGAGAAGAGTGGGAGAGAAGGTGCAAGTAGGGCCTGAGTCCGTGGGATATAAGCTACCAGAAAAGGCGCTCGTCTTCGGTGGTGACGTTCCAACAGCGACAGACTATACCGTCGCTGCTTCATCCGATATTGCGATAGGCCAGTCGAAAAAAGTGCGAGGGAAGCTGCACGACGATGACATACAAGCGTTCAAAGCTGAGACGAAAAGGATGCTTGAAACAATCATTGACAAGATGAAGACATCACCTGATGACCTTCCCGTCCTGCTTGTCGGTGGTGGTGCGGTCATAGCTCCGGACGAGTTGAAGGGAGCAAGCAGAGTGATCAAACCTCAATGGTCTGGTGTAGCTAACGCTATTGGTGCTGCGATGGCGCGAGTGAGTGCCGTAGTCGACACGGTCAAGTCTACCGAGAAGCAGACGCAGAAAGAACTACTAGCTGAGATATGCGAGGAGGCGAAACGAAAGACCATCGAAGCAGGTGCATCAGCGGAGACGGTCTCTATCGTCGAAGTGGAGGATCTACCATTACAATACGTGGCCCACAAAACGCGATTTATGGTCAGAGCTGCGGGAGACTTTGACTTTTCACGAGCTGGAGATTTCATAGATCTAAACGTCACTCAGGAAGGAGGCAAGGTAGAGACTAGGCCAAAGGGTACAGGCGATGCCATCGCAGCACCTTCGACTGAAGAGGCGTCTAGCGAAGTTGATGCAGCAATGGAAGTTGACATCGTTGCGTATAAGCCCAAAGTGGCTAACCGAGAGTGGTGGATATCTGAGACCGATCTGGACTGGATCACCATCGGCTGCTACATTCTTGGTACTGGTGGCGGAGGCTCTCCCTACTCTACCATGCTCAGAGTGCGTGGAATCCTACGGTCGGGCGGGAAAGTTCGCGTCGTTAGTCCAGACGATCTCAAAGACGATGCGCGAGTGGGAAGTGGTGGTGGTGCTGGTAGCCCAACAGTCGGCATCGAGAAGCTGTCCGCTGATGAGTAAGTCATGTATTGGTGCCACACCATACCTTTGCTAACCTTCGCTCAGAATGATGGATGCTCAAAACCACCTCTACGATCTCATCAAGGGTGGCTACGCGACGCACATTATTCCTCTCGAGATTGGCGGCTCAAACGGCTTGCAGGGTCTCGTTTTGGGTGCATCAACTAACATGAATGTGCCATGTGTAGACGGTGACTGGATGGGCCGAGCATATCCAACAAAGTGGCAGACAACCCCGGTCGTCTTCGGCGAGCGAGAAATCGTGTTCGCGCCTGTTGCAGTGGCTGATGGCAATGGCAACACGCTATACATGCCGACCGCAACGAGTGACCTCAAAGTCGAACAGGTCATCAGAGCAGCATTGAGCCAAATGGGCAGCTCCGTCGGAACAGCTGATGCTCCAGTTACAGGCGCTGAAACAAGACGCTGGGCTGTTGAACATACAATCTCGCTGTCGTGGAGGATAGGACGAGAAGTAGCACGCGCGCGCAAAGAGAACAGAATTGACAACGTCGCGCAATCAATCATCGATGCGGTTGGAGGTTCTGAAACAGGCCGTGCGCTTTTCAAGGGCAAGATTGTTGGTGTAGAGCGCAAGCTGTACATGGGCCATGTGTACGGCGAGGTAATCATAGAAGCTACGGGAAGTGAGTACAAAGGCAAGATTAAGATACCCTTCAAGAACGAGAACATTGCTGCGATCCGGATACCGGATAGTGGAGAAAGCACGACTGGGGAGGAAAATAACGAAGACGTTCTGGCTATCGTTCCCGACCTTATCGCGGTCATTGATGCGCAAAATGGCGAGGCTATCGGAACGCCAGAGTATCGGTACGGACTGCTAGTCTCGGTGATCGGTATCACTGCGAGCGAGCGCTGGACTAGTCCGAAGGGTATTGAGATTGGAGGCCCGAAGGCATTTGGGCTGGATCATCTGGAGTACAAACCTTTGGGCAAGTTTGTGAAGCCTGTTAGCGTTATCGACGAATATGACGGAAAGGCATGAGCGCCAGGAGCTTGGCTGAACTGGTTGAGTAGGTATGCAATGTTCTAGATATCTTTTCGTCTAGGATTACTCAGCCTGCTTTGTGCCAGGATATAACGGCAGGATGATCTTCACAGCAGCCTCGTAGCTTGTGAATAGAATACCTCCACTAAACACCGTGCGACCCAACCTCATCGTCGTGCCTTTCCAAAAACCCTTGATCCCGTAATCCAACAAAACACTCTTTACAGCCTCAGCAGTACTCGTGCCTTTCGCACTCTGTGAACGCGTCTTAATAACGTCAAAAGGCTGCGTTGCAAGCGTTGTCACAACGCCTGCTACTGATCCGTTCGCGAAGTTCACCAGCGTATTTTGTTCGATATTCTTGGCCTTCTCATAATCCTTGAGGATGTTGTAGGTCCCCATTCTGAACGCCGTTGCTGATGCTTGTTTCAGGGTAGTGCCTGCGAACCCGCGGTATAAACCGAGGATACCGTGTTCCTTCCAAATGGTGGTGGTAGCGTGGAAACCGGACCGAAAGCGCCTTTCGTTCCTGGCATCGTCGATGAGGGCAGTCTTGATGCGCTCTGTGGGTGTAACTGCGGTGATCGACGCGATTACTCCCGCAGTCATGCCGGCCAACAAATTGCGCAGAGGGGAGAGCGTGCCCGTCTCTGGGTCGGCAAAAGATGATTTGATCTGGTCGAAGAAAAGAAAGCGGACGGCGTCTTTGCCTACTGAGCCAAAGACCAGCGCTCCGCAGCCTTTGTATAGCGCTCTAATGCCTTCATTCTGATAGACTTGGGTCACGACTAGGAAGGGATTTCGCGGCGTCGGCACGCCCTTCTCAGCTCTTAACTGCACACGCGTTTTCGCAAACTCTAGAGGATACTGCGAGTGGTATGAGTCACGGGATCTGGGCCGGAATGCCTCTTTGGACGTACCGAAAGAAAGCCTTCCACACCGCCAGCTATGCCGCCGGCGACCAGAGAGACTACCGCAGGTGTGTTCTTGTCCTGTAAATTGTTAAACTTGATCTTTAGACATTGCGCGTGAGCTTACATCGCCGCCTGAAACCATTTGCGTCTAGGAAAATAGGGATAAAGATGATGTTGTGATGAAAGTGACCTCGGGATGGTCGACAGAAAAGATGCAGATATAGCCGAAGCGGTTCCGTTCCGGGTGTCCTCAGCGGCATCGACCATGGAACACGAAAGCGACGCGCCGAGCCCAATGATATCACGGCCATGGGAGAGGTTACTTCAAAACTCAATTTGCAATCTTGCGCACTTCCCGCGCACATTCAGGCTCCTGAGGTAGGCCAAACTGTACCGTGTGGCGCATGACGTCAGCGGGTCTTCTCAGGGCTCCTGGACGGAAGGCCGTGGACGCGACCTTTAAGACACGCGACGCCGGAAACTACTGGACTCCAGAAGTACCATTCCATTTTAACACTTAAATTTCCATTGATTCCGAGGCAGATTGAACTACTGCGACTACGCTGCCGCATCATCCAACTCGAACAAACTATCGAACCGGTTATCCCTCGCTGCAGCATAAGCCGCCATCTTCTCGTCGCCGCTGTTGTCGTCGCTTTCGTCCTGCGTCCTGCTACTCAGCTTCCCCATTTTCTTCAAAGCATCGTCCACATTCCAAGCGATCCGCTCAGCGCCTACTCTTGCGCCGACCAGATTCGGCGCGCCAGGGCCAAGTCTCAATCCGGCCAGTCGTCCTGTCACGAATAGAGGAACGTCATCGTCCCACATCATGTCTTCATTCAAGCATGGCAGACCGCCAACGTACTTGATAGGATACTCTTGTTGGATGTTCTGAAGGTAGGGGATGGTGCGGATGTCTGACTGAATGCCAGTGGCAAAGACCATGTAGTCGATAGACGGCAGTTTGGGTTTCGAATCTGTGGACGTGGCTTCGCAGGCCCATGTTTTTGAGCTTTGGTCCCACGATACGGACTGGAGTTGAGTATAGGTTTGAAGCTCGATCTTCCCGTGTGCGACATGCGTATCGAGAATTTTCCGGTACCGCGGCGTCATACTTCCTCCATTACGGGCTTGCACTATCATCTCAAAGCGCTCTATCACCGATTGTTAGATGCGATCACCAAGTAGGAGCGTTGACATACCTTCATCAGTATCTGCCGTCCAGAACTCGGCTTGCTTGAAATTCCGAAACTTGCCCACCCACTCTAGGTCCACGTCAAAGTGCTTGACCTTAAGCGGACCGCGCATGAGCATCCATACTTTGTTCACGCCTCGCTTGATTGCTAGATCCGCCAGCTGAATACTCGTCAAGCCGCCACCAACAATGAGCATACTAGTCGACTGGCGAGCCTTGACTTTGGTCATTACGTAAGGTGGGGGAAACTGCTTGATCTGCATCGCATGCGCAAAACCTTCGTGTGGACGTTGAGCTGGTAGACCAGGGATAGGAGGTATCGAGGGCGCATTTCCAGGACCGACAGCCAAAATGACGAGGTGGGCGAAACGCACGCCTTGGTCTGTGGAGACGCGGAAGACTTTTCTCTCGTCCGCCATCACATCATCTGGGACAACACTGTCAAGGTCCGCTTCATCGAACTTTGAGATATTGTCGTATTCGATATTCACGACGCTCTCTTTCCTCAATAAATCCTTGCCAAGCCGATATCTTTTGATGACCTCTTCACAGTGAGCGTCGAACAAATCGGTACGTGGTACAAAGTAGTCCTTTCGGTCCCTTTCATCGACGTCTGGCGTGCGGCCCAAAAACCTTCCTTGCGACTTCAGGTTCTTCTTCTTTTTGTGCTTGCTCACTTCCTTCCCGGCAACTCCAGGTAGTGCTTGGATGTCTTTGTCTCTCTCTTTCTCGTACGTATACCCGAGCAGTGCATCTCGATCAGCAGGATCGACATGGAAGAACATCGGACTTCGAAGGTAGTCAATGTGGAAAGTCTTGAAGAGGCGCTTCCACTTTGACATCCAGTCCGCGCCATCGGCGTCAAGTACAAGCATATCTATCGCTTCTTCGGGTGCTACCTCATGGTCGCAGCCACAGTCTGAGTTCCCGGGTGTTGACGGTGGGGTTGGAAGTGAGTCCTTGTTTGTTCGGTAGTTTTTGATGTTCATTTTCCGACCATGTTTACGAATCCAGTGGTAACGTTGATGTTCATCATCTGTGAAGGTTGCCGAGGGTGTCTGTTCACGGAGCCGTGCTGCTACTGCTAGGCCAGCCGGGCCTCCACCGATGATGAGTACGTCGTGGATGTGCATTATGTTGCAGTCTGAGAGTAAAGGCTTGGGAGTTTACTGAAGAGCGTATGTATTATGGAACGTCGAGATACTTCGAGTGTCTTGTGCCCATGTGAGTACCTGATGGCTAGCGTTCCAAATTGGGTGCATCCATCATGGTGCTAAAGGCACACGATGACGAGAACACGACTCCACGTACAAAGACGGACCGATGCTAGAGGCTCAAATCAATTCGAGCACATGTTCAGTCACAGCTTTTCTGATGAGTAGCAATTACGCGCATGTGTGAGCGGAAGTGTAGCCGATTGTGTTGATAAGAACTCGTGTATTCATTCATACGGCATGGAAAATCTCCTGGTCCTTATGGCCCTCCGTCGTTGCGGACGTTCGCCAACTGGCAGGATTACTCACGCTCGACACTCGTAGTGACCTCGCGTCCTCCATTTCGATCGCGCTGGTGATGAATTGTGGATCCTGATCCTCCCTTTGCTTCCCAAGACCGCCATTCATGTCTTCTTGACTCTCCGTCCGCCTGAAGATATCCCGAAAGCCTCTAGGTATCGGTTCTGCTCTAGGTTCCGGCCAATAGGCGCGTGTGTGTGCAGATTGTGTCGCGCGTGTGACGGTATTGGGCCCGTACGTGTTCTCCGCAGTGTATGTATTGGAGCTCCAGTTTCTCAGACCGAGAACCCGTTGTATAAGCGGATAGGTCAAGGGCAGATTCGCGCAGAGTATCGCTGTATACGACTCTCGAAGGTACCAGATCGTCCACTCAGTTCCAAAGGGATTTGTGAACGAGTAGTATTTGTTGAGGACTGCTGCGACGATGGTGAACGCTCCTATACAGAAGATCACGAAAAGGATCGTTTTGTTCTTCTTCGGTAGGCGTACTTTGAAGAGCAACGGCATGGGTATGCTTATGATGATTAGATCACTGGAAATATTGAAGACGGCGTTTGTGATGAGATGATTGGTCGCTGCCGAGCATTGTTCTGGTATCGTCAATATCGTGTGATTAGATGTTGCAAAGGCACTTACTCGAATTCGGCGGTACTGCCCAATATTGCGAGAACGGCCGACACCAAACCCCAAGGTATAATATTTCCATGACCACAAATGCGACAGCGACATATATGGAGGTGGCGATGACGATCTTGTGTTGCGGGAGGACCATCGTCATACGGTTGTACATAATGAGTAGGCATGCCTTAACCAGCCATATGGTAAGGAGTTGCATCTGCTCTACTACCAAGACCAGCTTGGATCCGTATATACGCATCTTGATTTCGGCATCTGAATATTGAGAGACGTCGTCTCCCGGCGGTATTAGATTGCCTAGATACCGGTATAGAGTCAGCGTGTGTCTCTCTTGCAGTTTGCACACGGAAAGACGTACTGCTAGTCTTTGTGACTTCGTGCATGATAGCAATCAGCACTGTGTCGGTAGCCTTGTGTCACAATCAGTACTTGTAGTCGCTCGATGCTGCGGGTCACAAACCATGGCTACAAGTATTAAGTAATCATCTAATTGCAATAATTTCCATGATCCACGATGAATTCTTCTTGATATTAGTCGGATGATGACGACGATCCAGCACACGCCGTAGAAAATTCCAGCCTCAGGCTCAAGAACTCCGGCCATAGATAAGTGGTTGGCTCGCGAGCCGAGGTTGTGGGAACGTTCAAAGGCCGGGCCAGTAGACGGCGAGTAGTCTCGGAGTTGGTTGCTCAGGGCTTTAGTGGGTGTTGATCAAAAGTTGTCGTAAATATCAGGGGGAATCTATCGATGCGATAGAGACCACGGTGCGTTGGGGAACAGAGTAAATCGATGAAGAACTGCCGAGCGCCCGGTCAGCAGCCTTGTTGTGACCACAGGCGCTATGTTGTGAAGACCGGGTGTGAACTCAGCAATCACTCGGCATTTCTCTGTGATGTCGGCGGCTTTCCGTCACAAAATGCTTCATTGACAATTTGATAGGTGCTCTGGGATGTTGCTTGGTTGGACTGTTCCGGGGTGGCGCTGTGGATGGATGCCCTGGGGTGGTCGCGCAGTGTTTCAGTGGAAGTATTCGGATTGAGGAGACAGCGCTCAGAAATCGCGGACCCCCGGACCCCAAGATATCAGACTAGGCATCTAAAAGTGTCGCAAGCGCCACTTTCAATGGAGCTGTGCATCCTCGATGATCTGCACAATCGACTAAAGACGGACGTCCCTGGTCCAGCTTCGACACTTGTGGGACTCGCGGTAGCGCCAATTGGATGACGAGTTTGACGACTCAGACCTGGGTTGAGGCTGCCCAGGTGTCAGAGAGGCGCGTCCAATTCGAAGGCCGCGGCAATATGGCGATGTTGGCTGCTGACCGGAAACATTTCGCGACGATTCGTGGTACGGTTCAAGAAGAAATGTCACAGCAAATCAAATGCGTCCAATGCGCAATGGGTTTCCCGGCGCTGCTTCGGTGATTTCATGCCTGGTAGTGTTGCAAACTGCGACTTCAGGCGAGCAATATCGTAGGTATGCTATATAGCTGTTGCCAGTGTCACTGGAATTCTGACTCGCAAAAGATATCGGTAACATCGCAGCGCAAATTGAAGGCGTTGAGGAAAGTTTGGCGGTGCCCGTCAGCTTGCGTGAGTGACATCGGGTGTCCCGGCACGCTTAGTTTGACGCCTTTGGCGGGCCGTAGCCGTAAGTTGTACTGGTCCCGAGGTCAACACTTGCATAATTTTCGTCCTTGCTTCAGGCGTTCAGTCAAGGAGAAATGAAAATCGCGCAGTGACAAGAAACTCCCAGGAGCCTTGTCGCTGCTACAGATAGCTCTGGAAAGAGACTGT